ACGGCAACCGGCCGGCCAAGCGGCGTAAGGGTGGTGGGGTCTCGAAAGAAGGAGCGAGAAGCCCCAGAGTCAAGTGTGAAAGTAAGGGAGGACGAGGGCGACGCAGTACCTGGGAGCGCAGTCTCACCAGCACCTGAGAGCGCAGACGCACTGGCACCTAGAGCAGCAGCCTCACAAGCACCTAGCGCAGCAGTACCAATGCCCGGATCGGGCTGGAAACACCGGTAACCCTCAGTCTCCTCACGAATAGTCACAGCATACATAGCAGCAAGGATAGCATCAAAATCAAGATCAAAGATCGCTACACCAGCCCTAAGAAGCTCATCCCAGCGAGGGATCTCACTAGCCCCGGGGAACTGCTGACGCCAAGCGTCCGTCAGGCGGCCAAAACAGCGCTGAGTGGGGTGGGCACCCCCACACTGCTCACCCGCGCGGTCGCCGGAACGAAGGACGTAGGTGCAAGGACCAGTACCCCCACCCCTCTGACGCTGAGTGTACCACTCACGAAGCTGCTGAGGCGGAGGGATGTCCCGCGAACGCTGCTGCTGCTGCTGCTGCTGCGAGCGCTGGCCACCACCACCGCCGCTCCGCTGCTGGGTACCACCCCGACCAGCTCCACCCCCTCCACCACCACCGCCTCCTCCGCTGCCTCCTCCGCCGCCTCCACCTCCGCCGCTGCCACCACCACCACCGCTGCCACCACCACCGCCGCCTCCGCCGCTGCTGCCACCACCACCACCACCCCCGCCACCACTCCCGCCGCCACCCCCACTCCCTCCGCCGCCTCCGCCGCCACCGCCACCGCCCCCTCCTGCTCCACCCGCACCCTTGCCCCCCTTGCCCTTGCCAGAGCGACGTCTCCCACTAGGGGCAGACGCTGCGCCGACCGACTCAAGACCAAGCAGGTCGGCAGTAGCAGCAGAGGCAACAGAGGGCAGCAAGGGGGAAGGAGAGCACCCCTCAAAGATGGGGGTGCGAGGGTCTCCACGAGAAGCTCCTACAGCGACTATGCTCTTCTCCGCTGCTAGGAGGGCCTTCTCGAGGACGTCGACGGTGAGGGTGGTGGGAGAGACTGCGAGAAAGTGGTCCCTGACTACGCGAAGGGAGTCAGGGAGGCGTGCGACTACGTAGTAGAGAGTGATGTACATGGGGGGGGGGTTCTTAGCGCAGAACTCAGCAGGAAGGGCGGCGCGGTAGCGAGTGTCACTAGTGCGGAGGTGCGTAATGAGGTCAGCGACAGTGGGAAAGGCAGAGAGGTCAGGAAAGAGGTAGGGAAGCATGAGACGGCTCAGTGCAGCAGTGGCAGGGGAGGAGTAGCGCGCAACTACAGCGTCGTACAAGGTCTGAGCACTCTTGTACTGACTAAAGTGCGCGCGCTCAGAGGTAGGGAGGTGGCGACGCACAGCAAGACGTGCAGCAGCATCGCGGGTGGCCCACTGAGAGCGCACAGTGGGATCAGCATCAGTAGCAGGAGCAGGAGAGGCGCCAGAGGTAAGGTCAAAGAGAGAGAGGCCGTCTGCCCTATCGCACTGTAAAAACAACTGCAGGTCGTCTACCCAGACCTCAAAGTCAATGGCGCGACCCTCAGCGTCAAAAGCTAGGACACTAGGGGTAGCCATGACGACGACAGCGAAGCAGTGCAAGCAGTAGGGGAAGAGCACGCAGTGACAGTGGGACTGTGCTCACCAGGCAGGGCAGGCCGGACAACTCTGCAGAAGGGCGGCTCGGCGACTCAGCGACTCGGCTGCTGGGCGGCTCGGCTCCCGGGCGGCTCGGCGGCAGGGCGGCTCTGGTTCAGGGCGGCTCGGCTCCCGGGCGGCTCGGCGGCAGGGCGGCTCGGGTGTAGGGCGGCTCGGCTCCCGGGCGGCTCGGCGGCAGGGCGGCTCGGGTGCGGGGCGGCTCGGCTGCACTGCTGCTCGGCTGCTGCAGGTGGGCGGCTCGGCTGCTGCAGGTAGGGTGGCGGGGCCGCGAGATCAGGGGCAGCGGGGCCGAAGGAGCAGGGCCGGCAGGTGCAGCGGCGGGGACAGCGGGGCCGCGGCTGGTGGAGCGGCGGAGCCGGCAGAGAGGGCGGCGGAGCCGCGGCTGAGCAGGCGGCGGGGCCGGCGGCGTAGCGGGCGGCGGGGCCGCGGCGTAGTCGGCGGCTGGGCCGCGTCGTAGTGGGCGGCGGGGCCGCGTCAGAGCAGGCGGCGGGGCCGCGTCAGAGGCGGCGGCGGGGCCGCGTCAGATCAGGCGGCGGGGCCGCGTCAGATCAGGCGGCGGGGCCGCGTCAGAGGCGGCGGCGGGGCCGCGTCAGATCAGGCGGCGGGGCCGCGTCAGAGGTGGCGGCGGGGCCGCGTCAGATCAGGCAGCGGGGCCGCGTCAGAGGTGGCGGCGGGGCCGCGTAAGAGGTGGCGGCGGGGCCGCGTCAGAGCAGGCGGCGGGGCCGCGTCGTAGCGGGCGGCAGAGCCGCGATCGGGAGGCGGGGCCGCGACGTGGCGGCGGGGCCGGGATCGGGTGGCGGGGCCGCGATTAGAAGGGGTGGCGGGGCCGCGTCTGAGGGACGGCGGGGCCACGAGGGAAAGGGCGACTCGAGGGGTCGCTAAAAAAAAATTGCGCGCCTCGGGGCGCGCTTCGGTGGGCCCTAGGCAACGTTCCCACAGGGAACTCGCTCTATACCATGTGAAATAAATGACCAGGAATGGGGATGACTAAGTCAGGGTTGGGTACAAATACAACCCTAGAAAGCTGTACCCCATATGTGCTACCCCACTATAGCCTACAAACATGCATCAGCTATAATAATCCGACAGTTGGGCTGATAAGCCCGAAGGATCTTTGTAGAGTTAAAGTCTGGGTAGGATTTGTAATAGCGGAAGCGTTGAATAAAAGATCTTGAACCACCTTGCGCTGGTATGTGAGGGCAAAGTAAGTTGGATTAAACAAGCAAATACAAGGTTTATATAAGAGTACAAGGAATACGAATAGATAGATTTAAACCGTTTTACTGTTGCGATTCGATACAGCGCGACTCGGGCAACTGCTCAATGTCGAGTCAGTTGTGTGTCCTTGCTGTCGCGCTGTATTGGTCAAGTCAAAGGTCGCTGACCTTTGACCTTCGCGTAACCTCCAGGCGGTTACCCTAACCTCCGAGGGTTGACTCGTGATGCTTCGATTTGGGCTGCTTCGCTAGTGTCCTGAGTTTCGACACGACAGAGGCGCCTTAAGACTTATTGTTCCCAACACTTAGTACGGTATGTGTTGGGTTGAGAATTTCAGCCTTAGGATCTTTGCAGAGAATAGGCTAGTAGGTGCTAGAGTATCACAGCGGAAGACTTGAGTGAATGTACTTGTGCTGGTGTGTGAGAACAAGTAATTGATTAAAGCAAAGAGCATACAGGAATATATAGGAAAGATAGATTAGAGGAAGCGGTTGTGTTTATCGAGACGCGTAACGGTTTGACTATCGAGGCGGTTACTGTTCACTGAAGCGTCGCTTGCCGTTACGTAACCTCCAGGCGGTTACAGATCGCAACCTCCAGTTGCGGTTTGATGTGGTACGCGCCCTTTGGACTTCGTACCCCTTTTGTTGTGCTTTAGTATCGGGTGAGGTTCGATACTACAGAAACGCACTAAGTCATGCGTTTATATTCCCAATAGTATGTTTTATGAGTCGAATGAGACGTCAAAGACACGTTTTATCAGTCAAATGCAGGCGGTGTTGTGCCCCCCTACAGCAGTTGGCGCCTTTATATGAAGACCTTATGAGAATTGTAGGTTCATGTACAGTGTTACAACCTTAGGTGTGCAGTGTGGTGCAATGCTCAGTAGGCGAGGTCTTTATTCGTCAACTAGTGTCAACCATGAGGTGTCGAAGGGGACGAATGCTACCGAGGCAAGCGGCCGCGAATCATGGTTGAGCCACGAGCGGTGCGACTTCAAACAAACCTCCCATGCTGAACAATGCATTCCAGCCTCTCTGCCATTTGCTGATTTCAACCACTCTGGCATTCGCTGATTCCAGTCTCACGCCCATTCGCTGATTCCAGCGTTGCTGGCATTTGCAGCATCCAGACCGAAGATCCTGACTGCCGTGGGACATCGACGGACGTAAGTTTCGCGATCAGATGTCCGGAAATTAGGGTCTGTCCATAGTCGTTCTTCTGGCATGTCAAGTTCAACCCTTGTTCACAGAAGTCGAATGGTGCTTGCGGGCAGGTGAATAGTTTCACTGTACTTGATGCGTGATACTTCGTTTGTGGGCAGAGCAGTGTCAAGTAGCACGGGGTGACTGTTTGCCTATCAAGGTGTGCAGCAAACTGTAGCAGGATGTTAAATTTCCGTCGAGTTTTGTTGACGGATGTCCTCGGAAGCTAACGCCTCCTTCTGACACGCCCTAAGCTGCGTCAGCCACACACAGCACAACACAGCACAGGCGCCGAGTCATCGTGACGCAATGTCTGTGCCACCGAGGCAGGAAATGAGGAACGAGCCGCGTTGGAAAAACAAACCCCTACCCTATCTCATGGGACTATCACTGTAGTGAATTGGTTGGGCGACAACCCTGCGGCATCAGCGGAGATTAGGAAAAGCTAGTGTGAGGGTGGGTCCAAGAATGTACATATTTCGCAGAAAACCCTACCCAACCATCTCGTTTTTCAAATAAACAGCTCTAGCTCTGCTCCAAACCTTTTACAACCGCATTCGGACGTACTCTCTGGACACGCCCGAAGGACCAAAGCCCTTGTTTCTTCCGAAGATGCTCTACATACAAGCAGGCGACTTAAGGTCCAAACTCCGCGTAGAAAGTAGAAGCTGAGACAAAGCTGCCAGCATTGCGCCTACGTTGAGATATTTCGCCGACTTGGTCCCTCTGTTTAACGTTTTCCCCTTAAGTTATAGTGTGCACGTACAAGTTATCCAAGCCGGTCACGCAACTACTTACGATAATGAATACCGGCAGATTACCAAGTAAACTGGCTGTCCCCGCGACGGCCGTGATCGTTACTCTCCTGGGACTCGTTATGATCATGCCTGTGCGGCCGTGCTCTGCGGTCCATCATGTAGCACAACCAGGTATATAGCCCCCCCCGGGCACGTCAACCTCCGCCCTTATCGTCTGCGCCATCAGAGCTCAGACCAGCTAACTCTGCTCTTTCCCCCCTGCTTTCCCCCTCCCACTTTTCATAACAGCAGTCAGAAGCCCCTTTTCTTTATTGGCAATACATCGTGCATTCATCAGTTCAGACTCACAACTAACTCCCTGCTCTGTCAGCCACTGCTCTTTCCTCCCCTTATCTCTCCCCCTTTCCTCCCCGCCTCTATATTCGGAAGATCCAACACGAAGGAAATACATTCGTGCCAATGGGATTAGACCCTAACTCCCTGCTCTTTCTTCCCTGATTTTCTCTCCCCTCCTCCGCCCCACCCCTTGCTTTCCTCCCTGCTTTTCATAGTCGGAAGGCCCAACACGAAGCAGTACATCGTGCATCTATCGTCGGTGCCGTCAGTGCTGTCGTACCGGGGGGGAGTCCACGGGCTGCGGGCCACAGCAACCGTCGACGATGAGGACGACGAGTATGAGGACGAGGAAGACGTGGATGACTTGGATGATGAGAATCTCGTGGATGGAGATGCTATTGGTGATGGCAATGGTGGCATGGGTGGAAGCGGTGTCAATGCCACTGCACCAGGATCAGCACCAGAAGCAGAATCAGGGGCAGCAGCAGCAGTGGCAGAATCAGAAGTGAAACTGACAACGTCTGAATCTGGTGACGATGGCTTCGATGCCGATATTCACTTTGCAAGTGCGGCTGCTGCAGAGGCGGCAATGGAGATGGCAGGAGTGGTAACAGGTGCAGGAGCAGCTGCAGGAAAGGAGGGGATTGCAGGGGTAGCAGCAACGGCTGTAGCAGGAGGAAGAGGGGTGGGAGGAGGAAGCAGAGGAGGAGCAGTGAGGGTGAGCGCACTGCCGTTTGGGCGAACCGGGGTGGATGCGCTGGTGGAGAGGGTGGGTCAGCGGCTGAGAAGGATGAAATCGCGGTCTGTTGGCCGGCGCCTGCTGGCCCGCGTTGCTGCTGCTGCAGTGGCCGCAGCAGCAGAGGAGGCCGCAGAGGAAGCAACAGGAGCAGCAGCTGGTGCTGCTGCCGGTGCTGCTTCTGTCACAGAGTCATTCCAGAACTCCTCCCTTTACCCTTCAGCTGTTTCTACTACTACTGCCAACGCCGTTCATAGCACGTCAGCAGCAGTGCTGACGGTGCAGCAGCTGAGTGCACGTGCCGCGCGCATCATGCGCTCAACGCCGTGGGGCCGACTCATTCGCCCCGACGTGCGGTTACCACACGTCCAGGCCTTCACCCGCTTCCTGGAAGCTTCTCACCGCAGCCTGCTGCAGTCGCTCAAGATCCCTTCCTCAGCCATTTTCCACAGGTGAGGAAGAGGGGAAGGGTATAGGGAGGTGGCGGAGGGTAGGCGGGAAGGAGGGGGAAGAGGGGTAAGTTGGGGGGCGGTATGTATGTGTGGAGGAAGGGGAAAGGGGGGGAGGGGTAGTGTGGTTGGAGAGCGGGGGTCTATTTGAGTTTCAGAGGTGGAAGTGGATAAATTGGTCCAATCAAACGATTTTTCCAGGCTTTAACCTCGGTCGTTTACCACAGGTGGATTTGGGGACCAGGGTTTACCATTCAAACCGGCGGTCATGCCTTATTTACCCCCTTCCATCACCTGCTTCCCACCCACCTTTCCCCCTTCCACCCTCTCCCATTTCCACCCTCTCCCTCTTTCTACCCCTCAGCTACACATATCTGATGAACAGCTTTGCAGCGCAACTGACTGCTTCTGAAGCAAGGCGCCTCAAATTGCACCCAGCAGTGGCAGAGGTGGAGAGAGACCGCACAGTGGAAGTGGCCTCGGTGCACTCCCCTGAGTTCCTCAAGCTCGACTCAAGCCTGTGGCCGGCGAATGGCGGGCAGAGCAATGCGGGAGAGGGAGTGATCATCGGAGTGATCGATTCGGGGATCTGGCCCGAACACCCCTCCTTTTCTGACCTTGTGAGTGCGCCGAGTGACTGATGGCTATGGCTTTAAGATGGTAGTCGAGATATGGACGAACAATGCTGGAGAGGGAATGATCATTAGAATAATCGACCCGAGGATCTGGCCCGAACACCCCTCCTTTTCTGACATGAAAGCCCGAATGTTACCTGCATCTTGACCTTGTAAGCCCGAAGATTGTCCTTGGTCTCAAACCAACAGTTTAAGGATTTCCAACCGTTCCAAGCCATCCTCTCCTCTCCTCCTCTCCTCTTCTCCTCTCCTCCTCTCCTCCCTTCCTCTCCTCCTCTCCTCCTCTCCTCCTCCTCCTCTCTGCGAAGAGTCACTCTACAACGGATAGGCTGGACTACGTGGGAAGGCAGGGGGTTGTACGCGTGATTGCTGCGTTCCTTGTGTTCTCTCTACCTGCTTGTTCACGAGGCAAAACGGCTAGGGTTTCACTAAGAAATGAGAACAACAATGATGCACAATGGTAATGGCAAATAGATTACATCAGAAGCCTAGCAAACAAGCAAGTCGACCTCCAGCGCAGATCGGCGGCCTGTCAGCGCAGCTGGGAGGAGGCTTGCCAATGCTACAGGATGGCGACCTACCAGCGTTGCACCGGCGGCTTGCCAACGCTGCAGCACGGCGGCTTGCCAGCGTTGCAACTGCAGGTGCCCATGTGCGCATGTGTACACCTGCCCATTAGGTGCAGGTCGACGGTTGAGCATGTCGTGCACCTTCACGCACATTGCGCAGGTGCCAAGTTGGCCACGTGCCGACGGCTGCTCCCAGGTGTGCCATGTCGACCTCGTGATGCCACCCCGCAAGTCAGCGCCCATGGCGAACTCCTTCGTCGACCGCCTAGGTCGAAGCCGCCCGCCGACTTCAACTCGTCGGCGGCATTGTAGTGGCCCCGTGGAAGTCGACCAAGTCTGTCGACTTCGGCCCAGAAGTCGGCGTCGACCACTGACAGCAACCGACAGCACACTCGATAGCGAAGCCGGCTTCATCCAAGCGAGGTCGGGCTAATTTTCCGTCAACACTCTCCTCCTCTCCTCCTCCATTCCTCTTCCCCCAGGACACAAGTGGAGTGTCTTACTCCACTGCCCCGGTGCGTTGGAGAGGCGTTTGCAGCAAAACAGACGACTTCACTGCGTGCAGCCGCAAGGTGGTTGGGGCGAGGTACTTCCTGAAGGGTGCGGAGCGGGCGTTTGGCCAGGTGAACACCATGGACGATTACCGGTCGCCACGTGACATGCAGCAGCATGGCACGTGGTGCGCGGGGTGAGTGACTGAGACATGCTTGCTTTTCCCCTCCTAGAGATGCTCACCATGCAGGACATGCTCGCCTTGCAGGACATGCTGCACATGCTGCAGCACAATACGAGGTGTGCGAGGTGAGTGGATCAGGCAAGTGCAGTGGGCAGAAGCATGGTTTGGTTCAATGCTGCTTGGTGGGAGCATGGCATGATGAAGTGATAATGGGAGTCACTGAATCACAGCATCTTGCGTTACAAGACTGTCATATCATATCATGTCATATCATGTCATGTCATGTCATGTCATGTCATGTCATGTCATGTCATGGAAATGCCACACCTACTCCCCTCGTCTGCTAAACATGAGTCGCCGTTGAAACGTCTCGAAAGCATCTTGCATGACATGTATGTCATATCATGCCATAAAAGGCCACACCTACTCCCCTCCCTTCCACTCTCCCTTCTCCATAAGAGCTGCTGCAGGTGTGGAGGTGACAAAGGGAGGCCAGACTCACGGCACAGCCTCGGGCATGGCATGGGTGCTACAGAAATTCCACACCTACCTACTCGCCATCACTCCCCTACCCTCCTCCCTTCCCCTTCAGAGTTGCTGGTGGAAACGCAGGTGTGGAGGTGACAGTGGGAGGCCGGACCTTCGGCACAGCCTCGGGCATGGCATGAGTGTTACAGAAATGCCACACCTACCTATTCGCCATCAATCCTCTCCCCTCCTCCCTTCTCCATCAGAGCTGCTGCCGGGAATGCAGGTGTGGAGGTGACGGTGGGAGGCCGGACCTTCGGCACAGCCTCGGGTATGGCTCCCCGAGCCAGGCTGGCAGTTTACAAGGCACTGTGGATGGCCCTTGATATGAAATATGGGGTGAAGGGAAAAGGATCGACTTCTGACCTCATAGCTGCTGCGGAGAAGGCGGTAGCTGATGGGGTGGACGTGATATCGTGCTCGTGGGGAGGCCTTGCCCTGTACTTCCAAGACCTGCCTTACTTGAGAGGACTCAAGGTGAGAATCTCGGGTTACATACATTCCACCCTTGGCAGAACTTTCAGCCTGCTGCAGAGAAGGCTGTAGCTGATGAGGTGGACGTGATATCGTGCTCGTGGGGAGGCCTTGCCCTGTACTTCCAAGACCTGCCGTATCTGCGAGGGCTCAAGGTATGTGCACCGACCCTACAGCGCCGTGTGGGGCTAGGCTGGTGGTACACAAGGTGCTGTGGTTGATTGATAGTTGGTATGAGGTGAAAGGAGAAGGAGAAACTTCAGGCCTCATTGCTGCTACAGAGAAGGCTGTAGCTGATGGGGTGGACGTGATATCGTGCTCGTGGGGAGGCCTGCCCTGTACTTCCAAGACCTGCCTTACTTGAGAGGACTCAAGGTGAGAATCTCGGGTTACATACAAACCACCCTTGGCAGAACTTTCAGCCTGCTGCAGAGAAGGCTGTAGCTGATGGGGTGGACGTGATATCGTGCTCGTGGGGAGGCCTTGTGTTGTACTTCCAGGGCTTGCCATACCTGCGAGGTCTCAAGGTGAGAATTTTGGTACTTTCCTTACTTGCCATGGCATGAACCCTTGCCCTGTGTGTGATTAAGTTGATTCAAAATTAGACTCACTACTGCAAGGGCATGAGCCCTTGCCTTGTACTTCCACGACCTGCCCTACATGCGAGGGGTTAAGGTAAGAGTGTAGGGTAGCATAGCAGCCTTGGCATCAGCCTTGGAAGCACCCTTGGCAGCAGCATTGGCCGCAAACCTGGCTCGTGGGGGGCCCTTGTCCTGTATTTCCAGGACCGGCCCTACTTGCGAGTGCTTAAGGTGGGAAACATATGTTGCATCGCAGCACTGTAGCACCCTTGGCAGCACCCTTGGCAGCACCCTTGCAAGGCCTCTGCAAGGCTCTGATGCCTCCCAATCTCCCACGCTGGATGGTCATAACCCATCAGCATTCTCATGCCTCCCATTCTACCAGGCTGGATAGTCATAACCCATGCAACATCCTCATGCTTCCTATTCTCACCCTCCCATTCACACCCTCCCGTTCTAACCCTCCCATTCTGACCCTCCCGTTCTCACTGCATTCTCACCCTCCCATCACCACCCTCCCGTTTTCAACCTCTCATTCTCACCCTCCCATCCTCAACCTCTCCCTCCTATTCTCACCCTCTCATTTTGCCCCTCCCATTCTCACCCTCCCATTATCACCCTCCCGTTATCACCCTCCCGTTTCCAACTGCTCATTCTCACCCTCTCATTCCCACCCCCACTCTCCCATCTCACCCTCACCATCCCATTCTCACCCTCTCATTCCCACCCCCACTCTCCCATCTCACCCTCACCATCCCATTCTCACCCTCTCATTCCCACCCCCACTCTCCCATCTCACCCTCACCATCCCATCCTCACCCTCTCATTCCCACCCCCACTCTCCCATCTCACCCTCACCATCCCATCCTCACCCTCTCATTCCCACCCCCACCCCCACCCTTCCATTCTCACCCTCACCCTTCCATTCTCACCCTCACCATCCCATTCTCACCCTCCCGTTTTCAACTGCTTATTCCCACCCTTCCATTCTCACCCCCACCCTCCTATTCTCACCCTCTCATTTCCCCACTCCGATTCACACCCTCCCATTCTCACCCTCACCCTCCCATTCTCACCTCCTTAATTTTCCCCTCCGATTCACATTCTCCCATTCTCACCCTCTCGTTTGCCCCTCCAATTCACACCCTCCCATTCTCACCCTTTTTTTTCACCCTCTCAAGTTGCCCTTCCGATTCGCACACTCCTAGTTTCATCCTCCCATCCTCACCCTCTCATTCCCACTCTTCCCATTTTCACCCTCTCATTCTCACCCTTCCCATTCTCACATGTCCAACTTCCAGGCCGGGGTGGTCACGGCCTTTGCAGCCGGAAATAAGGGTCGACCCAAACGCATGAGCATGCAGGGCGCGCTTTCTAATGCCTCCCCCTTCTACCTCACAGTGGGAGCAAGGTACGGTTACATACAGTGCGGTGGAAGGAGAGGGGGAAGTCTAGCAGCAATTATAATTTGGAGTCCGAAGCAATACGGACATTGAGGGATAAAGATGAATTTCCTTTTGATCATCAAACCCACACCACAGCACTATTCTCCACACCTCCACACCGCAAACCAATGCGGGCCCCTCCCCATGGCAGATGGCCTTTTGAGTCGACGTACAGGCCACCCTCCCCATTCACATCCACCCGTCCCAACCCCCACAACCTCTGATCCTTCACCACTGCTCGCACCTCAATACCATGGGTCGGGATTACATGGATATGTTTACCTCAGGCAATAGAACCATCTTCACAGGGCGCAGTTTCGGAGGCACCCCTACCACTGAGTCGCCTCTGCCCTTCGAGCTCACCCTGACTTCTGAGTTGACTCAAAAGTCACCGTATTGGAACCACCTTCACAAGGCAAAGCGTCGGAGGCACCCCTACCACTGCGTCACCTCTGCCCTTCGAGCTCACCCTGTTCAATGGAACCACCCTTCCCTCCTCCCCTCATCAAACCCCTCCCTCTCCCCTTTTTCTCCCCACCACTGCATCCCCTTCAACACCATAGGGAAGGATTACACAGCAGTGCTCACCCTGGGCGATGGAACCACCTTCACAGCACGCATTCAGTCTCCCTTCCACTCAAGTCCACCCTCCTTCTCCCCCTTGCACCACTGCTCCATCCCTCAACATCCTGGGGAGGGATTACACAGCAGTGCTCACCCTGGGAAATAGAACAAAATTTCCTCGTCACCTCCCCATCCACCCCCACCGCCCACCACCGCTCCCCACTGCTCCCCACCGCAGCACCATGGGGCGGGATTACACAGCAGTGCTTAACTTGGGCGATGGAACCACCTTCACAGGACGCAGCCTCGGCGGCAACACTGCCACGGCGTCACCGCTGCCCCTCATGCTCGCTGGAGATTACACGACTGTGGGCCTTCCGGATGATGTGAGCTTGAATGAGTTTTGATACGCATCTTGGCCTCGTTTACATGAATGGCCGGTGTCTCTCCTTGTGGTGAGAAGGCCTAGGTGAACGCTGAGGGGTCTTGGAAAGTCACAGCGTCTCCAAGTGCTCTTGAGTTGACTCAGAATGTGCCATTGTAACGACTTTGAGCCGACTCATATGTTCTTGTGGGGTGGAGGGTGAGGTGAACTTTGAGGGGATTTGAGAAGTCACAGCGTCTAATAGGTGTTTTCAGTCAACTTGGAATTCTAATGGTGGCACCACTCAGACACGCTGCCACATCTGCCCCATTATGACCACTCAAAAGTCTTATCTGTGGTACCACACCGTGCCTTCTCCACCTCCCGTGCCTTCTCCACCTCCCTTGCAGCCTCCAAGTGCTACACCATAGCCCTTAGCATGAACTCAAATCGCGGGCAAGCAAACTGATTGTGTGCACCATGCAGGCTTTAAATTCGACTCAAGAGACACCATGCCTTCTCCACCTCCATCCCACCAGGCCCTCATGAGCTACAGCGAGTTTTCAGACGCCACTCAAGTTGAGTTAACTTTAGAGTCGACTCAAAGTCAAGCCATTGTGCCTTCTCCACCTCCCTTTCCACCACCCCACCAGGCCTACCGGTGCTACAGAGAGAATTTAGATGCCACTCAAGTCGCTGGAAAGTTCCTCGTGTGTACCCTGTTCGAACGCACCCTGTCCGAGGTCATTGCTGACGTGGACAGGCTGGGAGCGGCTGCTGTACTCGTTTTAAACGCGACGGTGACGCGCGAAACGCAGTACCGCGTCCCATTCTCAAAGACCCCGGCCATATTCTTAGAGAAAAGGCTTCAGTGGTTTATTGAGGAGTATATCAGAGCCGCAGGCAGGTGAGCACCTATTTCTCGTTTTAAACGTGAAAGCAAAACGCAAAATGCAGTACGTTATCCCCTTCTCAAGGGACCTGACCATCTGCGAGTCGCATCCCTTCACACAGACCCCGACAAATTTTATAGATTTATTGCATATGTGGACCATTAAGAGATATACCTGTGCCAAAAGCAGGTGAGCACTTACTTTTCTCTCTGCCATTGAACTTACTCTGACTGCCCTTTTCTTTCTTTCATCGGCCTTGAATCTTCATCAAACATTTGCCTCTTGTGACACTCAGTCCTTCTCCACAACTCTCCTCCAATCTTCCTCCTCTCTTCCCTCCTCCCCCCCCTCCTATCTTGTACCCTCTCTTTCCTCCTATTTCTCCCCTCAAACCTCCTATCTTCATCCCTCTCCTCCCGCCTCGCTCCCTTGATCGTATACCTCTTCCCTTCCCACCCCTCTACTCCAATCCTACACTGCCTCTTGGTCGACAAATCTCTTTCCCTTCCCTCTGCCCCCTTGTCTCTTGCAACGTCCCCCTTCTCCCCCCCCTTCCCCCTTTCCCTTCCCCTCCCCCTTCTCCCTCCCCTCCACTCTCAATCCATCTTCACACCCATGCTTTCCACTTTCACCATCTACCAGTCCTCAACTTCTCACTGCCTCCCCCTCCTTCCCCTCTTTCCAATCCCCTCCCACCATGCCAATGCAGCCCCACGGCAACACTTTCCGCTTTCACTGTCTCGTATGATACCAATGCCCCCCAAGTCGCTTACTTCTCCTCCACCGGCCCGCCGCGCAGCCCACTCTACCCGCCCGCGCTTCTAATCCGTGACTACCCGACAAACGACATCCTTAAGCCCGACGTCGTTGGGCCGGGGTTCCAACTATGGGCTGCAGGTCCGGGTAAAACAGCTGCCACCGCTGCGACCGACCTGCCGGAGTTTGGTTACAAGTCCGGGACGTCAATGTCAACGGCGCATCTGGCGGGGATCATGGCGCTGATTGTGCAGAACAAGCCGAGTTGGTCCCCCTCGCAGGTGATTTCCGCGATAACCACGACTGCGTACACGAGGAATAAGAATGGGCAGCCGATTCAACGGGCAGATGGAAAAAACGCGAACGGGTGGGACTATGGAGGAGGTCATGTGGATCCCACGCGTGTCTTGGACCCGGGGCTCACGTTTCATGCAGCTCACAAGCACTTCGTGAATTTCCTTATGATGAGGGACCCGATAAGAACGAAGAAGCGATTCTGGCGCATGGGAAAGGCGCATCCGATTCTACCCTGGAACCTCAACCGCGCCTCAATAGCGGTAACTCGACTGCACGGCGTTACAGTAGTGTACCGCCGAATGAAGAATGTCTACAACTTACCATCTACGTATAGCGTGAAAGTGGTCCCTCCGCCTGGATTTTCCGTGAGAGTTTGGCCCAGGAAGATCACCATTTTTCCCGGAAAGATGAGGGGTTTTAAGGTCACAATTACCAGGTTCTTGCCTTTAGATGCATTTAGGTTTGGAACAATCATATGGACTGACCAATATGGGCATTCTGTGCCGGTGCAGCTCGTGGTTAGGTCTCCCATTTTGCCCTGATTGTCATCATAATGGCATAATTATAGCGTTAGTGGCATGTCTCAGGCGAAATAAAAGGCCAGTGGAGATGTCAATGATATACGGTACATGTCTAACTGCATTGCAAGGTTTCAAGGTACCGTATACTCCCGGACAAAACACCCCCCCATAATTGTACACCCCCGGGTAGCTTGTGCGGGGTGGGTGTTATGATAGACCCCGTTTCCACTATACCCCCCTTTTTGCCTGATTTTCTATAACACCCCCCTTTTCTTACGGATTCATTAGTATAGTCGTTAACGAGTAGCTGCAATACGGAAGAATGTCGTGTGAATTTCTCCCTCAATGAAATTTCGCGGTACATTCAAAGGCAATCTGCCGAGATTTGCCCTCTCCCACTATTTCTCTGTTGCCACGTGCAGGTGAATCTTCCGTTGCAAGTGGCAAGAGAGGTGTCACATGGCATTTTCGTGAGGGCGATGAAGTTCGAGGCCGAAACTGACATTCGCGCCTCAGGCAGTGATGCTAAAACGACCAGCAAAACACCCACATTGACTAATTAAAAAAACACTAACACTAAAATATGCCATATGTAAAGACCCGGGTATTATGTATTTTTTTCCTATGAGGAGACCCCCCCCATTTTTTCCCTGTATTTTTAGCTATACCCTAGGGTGTTATGTCCGGGAGAATACGGTAATGGAAACCTTAGAAGTACCAACCAGTAAAATCGAGTAAAGAAACAGGAAGATACCGTATATGAATCCCAACAATAGATGTGCGTTGAAACAATTCATACCGTACTAAGATGTTAACACACACCGGTGATAATCCCAGCAATATTGGATTTGGGAGGTGCTAATGCCAATCCAATCCAAAAATGCTCTACATTATTATATCATAGAGGTGAAGTACTAAAACGAAATATCTCGATCAAAGTACCACCTCTCTAACGAGTGAAACATTTGGCTATTCTGGTTTTCTCTCACGTGCCAATGTGCTCAAGGTTCTCTCTCAAGTGGGTGGGTGACATCCGGAAGATGAGAATGCACTGAGTACATTGCAACCTCATATCTGCGAGCTGCTTTCTAGACAAGTGCTAAGCCACATTAAAGCCAGCAGCTAAAATAGTGACTCCCCCCCCTTCTAGTGGGTCCACTTGAAAACACAAACTAACTTTGTAAAGGTTCAGATGGTCGAAGTGTTGTTCTGTTTTGTTTTTCAGACGCGTTCAAGTCTTCACACTTTTTTTTTAAACAAAAAACGTCGCAACCATGTGTCGCAAGTTGTCAACGTGGAAATCCCAATCACATGGAATGGTGGGGTGTTGTGAGATGGGAGGGGAGAAACGAAGGGCGACTTGCAGGCATTTCGAGGCAGGCGCGAAAGCGCCGAGGTGGGGGACGGGAGGGGAGAGAGGAAAGGCGACGACTGCATGCTGGGGGATCTGCGCTTGCACAACGTCATCACGGCAGTGATCCCCGGCGGGTGCACGCCGCTGCTGCAATCGCGCATTTGAAACGGGTTAGTGCCAGTCTATGGAGACTGGTTTGCGGAGTATGGCACCAACACCTTCAGACCTGCAGTTTCGTGGAGGTCTACCCGCTCGTCTTCTGTTCTCAGCTCCAGTTGTGAGGCTGAGATCTATGCGGGGGCCATGGCTGCACAGGAGTTACGCTGGCTGACCTACCTGCTGATTGACGCGGGTGAGCGGCCTCGTTCTCCTCCAGTCCTGTACGTTGACAAGAAGGCCATGATTGCCTTGTGTTAATAGCAGAGACGGGAGCACAAAATAAAGCACATTTCTCTTCGTTACTTCCTTGCTCGATAGCTACAGCAGCATGGTCAGCTCTGCCTTGCCTACGTGGCCTCCTGGGCCAACACTGCTGATATTTTCACCAAAACACTTGTGTATGGTGATCATCAGCGTTTTTGCACTGCTCTAGGCCTTGTGCCTACTTTGCATCACTTGCTTATTGCTTGACTTTGCCTTGTACTGTGACCTATATATCTATACCCGCATTCGTACTCTTGTTAGGTTGTGATCATTGTACTACTTGTGCTTTTACAACTCTGCATGTGAACTGGCATTGTGGCCACTTGGTCGTGCTCATACTGCATGGTGATCTTGAGATTCACCCTGAGCTTTGTTTTGTTTGCTTCTCTTGATTGGTCTTGTGACCATTTGCTTGTCCTGGTTGTTTTGATGCCTCTCACTTAGCCTATGGGGGTGTGTCAAATATATATTATATTTCTTAGTTAGCATAGAGTGAGATGCATCTTATAGGGTACAACTTTTCTCTAAACATTCTAGTTGTACTCCCCCTTGACCTAATCATACCATCCTTCTTTAGTATTCTAACACCCGGGTCTGTGACGAATAGTAAATTAAGAAGCAACATTATGTTTTATAACATGTAGCAAGAACGGAGAACACAAAAGGCGAAAGGTCGAAGCGACATGAACAGTTGGAAAGCATGTGGACCGTCGGAGCAGACAACATCGGGCAGCTGCAGGAGTGAGGAAAAAGGCGGGAATAGTTTTATAACTATACGCGCCGTGCGGTTGGGTCTGAATTTGAATAAGGGAATGTACCCCTTAAAGTACATGGCTAGCTAGGACGTTTGGTATTCCCCTTGTACTCATACCACTGAAATGCAAGCCAACCTGGCTGCGACAAACGAGGAGACGATGACTATCCGCACAGACGCCCTCGCACAACTACTTCAGCGACTCTCAACTCTGAAGCAAAGCGTCCAGACATTGCGGAATGGCGACGCAGGAACATCTTCCCAACCCTCACAACCGGCCTCAAATGGCCACGATACCGCCCCGCACACCTTCTCCCTCGAAACGAATGGCTCAACTCCTAAGACTCCCCGTCCAAGCGACGAAGCAATTCTCTCAGCACAATCAAGGATTTTGAGCATATAAAAAATCAAGAGAATTCTTTATGTGGAGCTTCGAGGTGGAGGTGCTGCTACAAAACGGGCAGATATTTCACTACGCCGACGGGAGCTACGCGGGACCTACTGAAGACACCATTGAGGCCAGGGTGCAATATTACAACGAACCACTGATGGCGTATGACGTCTTACTGCGAAACATGTCGACGGCGGAGCAGCTGAGCATCCGGATTGGCCCCAGGGGAGAAGGCCAACAGCTACATCAACCGCTGTTGGAGCTTACGCAACCAAATCGCGAAACTGGGAAGCACAATCTCCAAAGAAATCTTCGTCAACATTGTGCTCCAAGGGCTTGGTCCAGCGCCGCGTCGAGAACGAGAGAGAAGTGCGTTCTACGTCGACAAAAAAGAGGAAAGCAAGCCGCTCATAAAATTTGAGCATCTAGCCGAGCGATGCAGATTCCGATCCGCCCCTCGCCATTCCAATCTGAGCACTTGGACAGGCCGACAAGAAGCAAGAAACGATCCGCGTCAAGCCCAACGGTATCAACCACCATCGCGCAACCTGAACCCAACGGTTTAGCATCAGCAGCAGCAGCCGTCACAGCTTGCTCCCACCCAAAATGTCATCGGCAACATGACCATGACACACACGAGCGGATCTCCCCAGCCAGCACGCCATCCAATTGAGGCGTTCATGGCCAAAAATCCGTTTACTACCTGCCATGACTTTAGCGGCGATGACAATCAGGACTGGATGCTTCAAACCCCCCCGCACGTACCTGATTCGCGGGCGGCACAGATTGATTGGATCTCGCGCGAACAATTCTTGGAGTTTGACACACCGGAAATCATCACGCCGCGATTAGCGTTGCTTGCGCGTGACGACAACAGGCACTACAGCAGGTGGTACCTTGATAGCTGCCGTGGGCAGCATATGGTGGGCTCCAAGCGTTACATATCCAACGCCATCTCCACCCCCACAGTCACCTACGTCACTGTGGCCAACAACACACGCCTGCGCGCAAGCGCACAAGGCATCGCCGTTCTTAAGGCACGGGGGAGCAGGACGCACATCACCCTAAACGATGTGCTAACCGTACAAAATCTGCGTTTCAATCTCCTCTCGGCGGCGCAACTCATGGATTGCGGAGTTGATCTTAGCACTGACCCTAAGACTCGCGAGGTCCTGCTACACTACACTACACCGAACAAGCCGCGCAAGCAGATCCGAAGAGCGCTTCGAGAATGGAGTTTACGTCCTCGACTTTGACATTCCCGACTGCAGCGGCGATTTGAACGAGCTAATTGACCTCGTTCCACTGCGCTTCGAGCACATCCACCGCTCCAACTGGAAGCACCCTGATGGGAGGCCGTGGATGCCACATCAACCGCAACCACACAAGCTGGCACTACATGTCCCTGACCCAGATGGCATATGCAGGGACCGCTACACGCCCACCGAATCAATCACCGCAATAGCTGGCCGTGGTCTCGCCGCCATCGCTGAAGCTGAACGATCCACACCGTTGAAGAAGGGATGTCAGCGCTGGAGCTAGGAGTGGCTACTCAATGCGTCTTTGGCCCTTCTCGGGTTCCCCCTCTTAGCGACTCGAAGGCATCTTGGGCAGACAGCGCCGCGGAACTTTTGACGCGTGCGGAGTAGCGCGTCCCTACACAAAAGAAGACTTTCTGAAGTTGTACCCCCGCTGGCGCGACCCCACGACGACACTCACCGTGGCACACGAAGAGGAGATGGCACGCCGCGAAGCCGAAGAGCTTCGCCGGAAAAGCATCTCCGAAGCGCGCGGCACCTTTCCTTGCGCTGCTTGGGGAGCAAAGGAGGAAAGCGCCTCCAATGACGGAGGGTGGGGAAGCACTTGCGGATGGGGAACGAGCAATACTGGTAGATGGGGCGCCGCAATTGGCAACGACACAAGTGGCTGGGGCACTTCCAGTGAAGGTTGGAGCGCCTCGCGAGAAGAACAAATGGGG